TTCTGCACTCCAGTCTGGGTGACAGAGTGAGACTCCAACTCAAAAAAAAAAAAAAAAAAAGAATATAAAAACAGTAAATATTGAAACTACAGCTAAAGTAGTTTAGAGGAAAATTCATAGCTTTAAATAGTATATAATAGAAACAAAATAGTATATAGTAGAAACAAAAAATCTAAAATTAATCAGCTAAGAATCTACATCAAGAAGATAAAAGGAGTAATAGAGTAAATTAAATAAAGTGGAAAAAATAAAATAAGAGCATAAATTAATAAAATGAAGACTAAATAAAAATAGAACAAAAACAAAAAGCTGGTTTGTTGAAAAGACTGATCATATAGACAAAATTCTGGGAATATTGTTAAAGATTAAAAGAGAAGGCACAAATAAACACTATTGAGAATTTAAAAAGGGAAGAACTATAGAGTAAAAAATTAAAAAAAAAAAAACTCTGTTGAGGAATACTACGCAGCCATAAAAAAGAACAAAATCATGAATTTCGCAGCAACCTGGATGGAACTAGAGTCTATAATACTGAGTGACCTCTCACAGAAACAAAGATCCGAATATCACATGTTCTCACTCATATAATGGACCTTGAACATCCGATGCAATACTATAAGAAAATGACTGACGATACTGGGAAACTATGGGAGGGAGGGGGATGGGATTAACAGTAGCAAATATCTGTTGGGGGATGGGAAAACACCTCTTATCAACAGGGTGCCTGAATGAAACGTAACTGTACACCTAACCCTTAACTGTACCCCACAAAACCATAATAAAAAATACTGATTAATAAAAAAAAAAACTCTGTTGAATAATGAACAACTGTGACCAATAAATTGGAAAACATAAAATGGATGATTTCCTAGAAAATCGAACTTGCTACAGCTATCTCAAGAAGAAACAGAAAATTTTACATGATCTATACTCATTTCCAAAAGTTGAATCAGTAGTTAAAATCCATTCACATATGCATATACACAAAACAAACAAAAAATAGAATGAGGCCTGTTGGGAGCCAACATATGTAACCACACAGCTGAGGCCTATGAAGGCCTATTCAGAAGGTCGCCTCTGAGACAAGGATATAACATCAAGTGTGTACATATGAATAGTAACCAGTGTATTATAAGACAACAGAATTTTCAATATTAGGAAGTGACAGTCTAAAATAAAATCTTATTATATCCTATGAAAAATGCACAGCAGAATTATTTTATATCTTTTTTTCTTTCTAAACTGTTTTTCTTCTTAAGATTTTTAGCTGTTATTTCCTGGTAAACTGATTGATTAGCTTTTGTTCCAGTATGTAGTTTCATTTGGGGTTATGATTAGACGTTATAACTGTGATAATAGTTGTATTATGTTGCTTTTGGTCAAGCAGAACGTTCTTGGTTTTTGTACGTGCAGTAACTTTCAGCTGCTTCAGTCCCCGGCTGTCGTTATGGCAACTGTGCAGTTCATTGTTTTAAGTGGCATGGCAGGTTTTGAGACGTAGGTAGTTTCCATGTAATAGGCAATCAGATTTAGGTTTTAGGTTAAAATGTCATTGAATTAAGTTTTATAGAACATAGAGTAAGTTCATAATTTTTATACTTATTAGTACTAATGATAAGGTTTGTAATAGATTATAGTAGGATAATAGTTGTATTAGAATTTAGACATGATATTATAAGATAAGTAATTAATAAAGTATAAAAGACAATAGTTTAGATATTTGAAATTTATAGAAGTTGTGATAAAATTTTAGGTTAAGGATAAGTTCATAGGTAATTAATATACAATCATAGGGCAGTATAGAAATGTAGTAGGTTATAAGAATTATAAAAATAAATAGTATAAAATTAAGGTAATAAAATTAAGTCATTTAAGTAAACTTATAGATTATAGTATAGTGTTAAGTTAATAATATTAATCGTCAAAAATATTAAAAGTTAGTAAAATTGGATTGAACTTAGAGTTAACTTGGAAAGTTTTTTAATCAGGGTTTAGAACTTAGAGTATAATATGAATGATTTATTGAACATTGTGGAAAACATTTTGAACAATCTGTATTGAAATTGTGCACCTGTGATTCATACATCATGGAATTGTAATTGTTCACTGGGAACCTGAAAGTCTTGTGATGGTACATGATTTGTAAAGCGCGTTACACATCAATGAATTTGTACGCCCCCAGCAAGTAATTGTCACACTGCTGGAGATTATAGAAAATGGTATATAAGTTGGAAAAAGTTTGAATAAAATTGGCTTCAGTCTTGGCCAGACTGTCCCAGAAGAGCTGCCTCCGTGTGGTTTCTTCTCTCCGTTCTGATTCACCGGTGCGGTCCTAACCCCCCTTGGTCAGTGCAGGTCACCGACAGAGGCCCAAATAGTTTCATAAGAGAGTTATAGCAAATATCCTAGAAATTGCTCCAGAGAACAGAAAATGAGACAGAGATTCCAACTCACTCCATGACATCAGTATAATGTTGCTACACCCCAGGTCAGGGCAGCATGAGAAAAAGAAAATTAAAGGTCAATTTTGCAACCAAATAATATTTGGCAAATCAAATCCAGCAGTACATTGAAAACACAACAGAACACATGCACACCATATCACGTTATTTCATATCACATGACAGATTTAACAGCGAGTAGGGTGTGGCTGCTGGCTCATGGGAACAGATGCTGGGCTGGAGCAGGGTCATGGAGACCCATGACTGTGCCAGGCATTAAGTCTTTGGTTCTAGATGGTGGGAGAGAGCCAAGGAGACCCAGGGAAGAAGGTAGGCAGGTGCATTCTGGGAATATGAGGCAGCAACTATTTACTAATATGTCAGAATATTAGCATTTGAGTGGCTGTTATAGCATACGGGCATGGTAGAATCACAGGTCTGGGAGTAGGAAGGCAGGAAGGGCTAACAGTTAGTAGTATATATTCATGTTGGTGTTATGATTATGTTTCTTAAAAAGAACCATCTTTTAAAGATATATATTTAATTATTTACTGATAAAATGATATGATTCTGAAATTGGCTTAAAAATAATATGGGAGGGACAGACAGCAGACACTCTTGCTGCTGTCCTATCTGTTGTACCCTTCACAATGTATTGTCCCTTTAATCTACCTTTGTTAATTCATTAAAAAATTAATAATA